CGACTTTATTCTCGTAATGTTACCACTTTATTCTCGTTGCGACTTTATTCTCGTAATGTTACCACTTTATTTTTGTTGCAACTTTATTCTCGTAATATTACAACTTTATTCTCATAATTTAACGAATTTATTCTCGTAGTTTTATGACTTTATTCTTGTAATGTTACCATTTTATTCTCTTAATGTTACGACTTTATTCTCGTTGCGACTTTATTCTCGTAATGTTACCACTTTATTTTTGTTGCGACTTTATTCTCGTAATATTACAACTTTATTCTCATAATTTAACGAATTTATTCTTGTAGTTTTATGACTTTATTCTTGTAATGTTACCATTTTATTCTCTTAATGTTACGACTTTATTATCATAATGTTATGACTTTATTCTCAAAATTTTATGACTTTATTGTCGTAATCTTACGCCTTTATTCTCGTAATTGTATGACTATTCTCTTTGCAACTTTATTCTTGTAATTTTATGTATTTATTCTCGTAATTGAATGACTATTCTCTTTGCAACTTTATTCTCGTAATTTTACGAATTTATTCTCGAAATTTTACGACTTTATTCTGGAAATAGAAAAAAAAAATAAATCTAGCTGGCCCTAACCCTCCGTCGTAGTCTGCTGTTGAACAAACAGGAACGTTTGTTGCGTTAGACAGTAACTGGTCGGACCAGCAGGAGCAGCATACCAATATGTTGGAGGGAGCTGGGTAACCGGATCTGTTCCGCTCCGGTTGGTTAGCAACCAGCTACAACGCCTTATAACTAGGGACAGTCTGCGCTGTCCTCTCATCCCCAGCAGGGTGCAGCAGAGGACCACTCCCAGTTCCACAGGGGCTGCATACCTGCTCCATGTGAGAGATTGCTGCAGCGTTTTGTTTCTAAACGTTTTCGATCTGATGCTGCTGATGAGGAGAACTGACGAAGCAGCATCTCCTGGATCCACAGACAGCTGATCGGAGGCAACCTTGAAGCGAAGAGCAGTAAAGGTTCTGGAAGCGGCTCAGAGTGGAACCCCGTGGATCTTCCCACAGCTGCTGGTCTCTGTGAGGTTCTACTGAGGATGAGGAGGAACTTGTTCTGGATCCACCTCATTCCTGCTGCTTTACCCACAATGCCGTTCTTTACAAACACGGATCCGTTCCTGACTTTAGGGAGGATGTTTACATAGAGCACAGAAATAAGCAGCCAATCATGTTCTTAGATAGGAACATAAAGCGCTGACAGTCGCCAGCTCTTCCTGTTCTTGTAGTGTTCTGAATTCTTCCTAGATTATCGCAGTAAAAGGCTGGTTTGGAGGAGAGCAACTGGAATAAGTGCATAGATGGAGAAGCAGGAGGAGCCGTCCTTTTTTTGTCCCTTTAGGTCGGTCCGCTGCAGACAACATGGAACTACAGACAAACACAGTGCTGCACTCTGGTTAATAGGATTGGACGGTGAAGAGCGTGGACGTCCAGTGGGTCTGCCACACCGCAGACTCCACGTCATGTGACCTCAGCGAAGCCGATGTGATTCTGTCCAGAAGAGGAGAGAAAACATTAGATCCACTTTAATCTGACAATTTGCTGAAGACTTAGCAGCAAAGAAAGACGCATAGACACAGAAGGATGCAGACTGACACACACACACAGACACACACGCACACAGACAGACACAGACTGACACTGACAGACACAGAAAGATGCATAGACACAGAAGGATGCAGACTGACACACACACACAGACAGACTGACTGACACACACAGACACAGAAAGACACAGACAGACATAGAAAGACACAGACTGACACAGACGGACTCAGAAAGACGCAGACAGACATAGAAAGACACAGACAGACACAGACGGACTCAGAAAGACGCAGACAGACATAGAAAGACACAGACAGACACAGAC